CCGTAGTTTTCTTTTATTGTTGAGTCTCTGCTGGGTTTTGGTATCAGGATGTTGTTGGTGTCATAAAATGATTTGGGGAGGATTCCCTCTTTTTGTATTGTTTGGAATAGTTTCAGAAGGAATGGTACCAGCTCCTCTTTGTATGTCTGGTAGAATTCTGCTGTGAACCCATCTGGACCTGGGCTTTTTTTGGGTGGTAGGCTGTTAATTGCTGCCTCAACTTCAGCTCTTGTTATTGGTCTATTCAGGGTTTTGACTTCTTCCTGGTTTAGGCTTGGGAGGATGCAAGTGTCCAGAAATTTACCCATTTCTTCCAGGTTTACTGGTTTATGTGCATAGAGTTGTTTGTAATTATCTCTGATGGTGGTTTGTATTTCTGTGGAATCAGTGGTGATATCCCCTTTATTGTTTTTTATTGCATCTATTTGATTATTCTCTCTTTTCTATTCATCTGGCTAGTGGTCTATTTTGTTGATCTTTTCGAAAAACCAGCTTCTGGATCGATTTTTTTAAGGGTTTTCTGTGTCTCTATCTCCTTCATTTCTGCTCTGATCTTAGTTATTTCTTGTCTTGTGCTAGGTTTTGAGTTTTTTTGGTCTTACTCCTCTAGCTCTTTCAATTTTGATGATAGGGTGTCGATTTTAGATCTTTCCTTGCTTCTCATGTGGGAATTTATTGCTATATATTTTCCTCTAGACACTGCTTTAAATGTGTCCCAAAGATTCTGGTATGTTGTGTCTTCATTCTCGTTGGTTTTGAAGAATTTCTTTATAACTGCCTTCATTTCATTGTTTATCCAGTCAACATTCAAGAGCCAGTTGTTCAGTTTCCATGCACCTGTGTGGTTCTGAGTTAGTTTCTGAATTCTGAGTTCTAGCTTGATTGCACTGTGGTCTGAGAGATTGTTTGTTATGATTTCCATTCTTTTGCATTTGCTGAGGAGTGGTTTACTTCTGACTTTGTGGTCAATTTTAGAGTAGGTGTGATGTGGTGCTGAGAAGAATGTATATTCTGTGGATTTGGGGTGGAGAGTTCTGTAAATGTCTATTAGGTTTGCTTGGTCCAGGTCTGAGTTCAAGTCCTGGATATCCTTGTTAATTTTCTGTCTCGTTGATCTGTCTAATATTGACAGTGGAGTGTTAAAGTCTCCCGTTATTATTGTGTGGGAGTCTAAGTCTCTTTGTAAGTCATTAAGAACTTGCTTTATATGTCTGGGTGCTCCTGTATGGGGTGTATATATATTTAGGATTGTTAGCTCTTCTTGTTGCATTGATCCTTTTACCATTATGTAATGTTCTTCTTTGTCGCTTTTGATTTTTGTTGGTTTAAAGTCTATTTTATCAGAGACTAGGATTGCATCTCCTGCTTTTTTTGCTCTCCATTTGCTTGGTAAATCTTCCTCCATTCCTTTATTTTTAGCCTTTGTGTATCCTTGCATGTGAGATGGGTTTCCTGGATACTGCACACCGATGGGTTTTGGCTTTTTATCCAATTTGCCAGTATTATGTGTTTTCATCGAGGCATTTAGCCCATTCACATTTAGGGTTAATATTGTTATGTGTGAATTTGATCCTGCCATTTTGATGCTAGCTGGTTGTTTTGCCTGTTAGTTGATGTAGTTTCTTCATTGTGTTGCTGCTCTTTACCATTTGGTATGTTTTTGGAGTGGCTGGTACTGGTTGTTCCTTTCTGTGTTTAGTGCTTCTTTCCAGAGCTCTTGTAAAGCAGGCCTGGTGGTGGTGATATCTTGTAGTAATTGCTTGTTCGTAAAGGTTTTTATTTCTCCTTCACTGATGAAACTTAGTTTCGTTGGATATGAAATCCTAGGTTGAATGTTCTTTTCTTTAGGATGTTGAATATTGTCCCCCACTCTCTTCTGGCTTATTGGGTTTCTGCCAAGAGATTCGCTGTGAGTCTGATGGGCTTCCCTTTGTGGGTGACCCGACCTTTCTCTCTGGCTTCCCTTAGCATTTTCTCCTTCATTTCAACCCTGGCAAATCTGACGATTATGTGCCTTGGGGTTGCTCTTCTTGAGGAATATCTTTGTGGTGTTCTCTGTATTTCCTGGACTTGATTATTGGCCTGCCTTGCTAGGTTGGGGAAGTTCTCCTGGATAATATCCTGAAGAGTATTTTCCAGCTTGGATTTATTCTCTCCGTCACATTCAGGTACACCTATCAAACATAAATTAGGTCTTTTCACATAATCCCATATTTCTTGGAGGCTTTTTTTGTTTCTTTTTACCCTTCTTTCTCTATCTTGCCTTCTCATTTTATTTCATTGAGTTGATCTTTGACCTCTGATATCCTTTCTTCTGCTTGGTCAATTCGGCTGTTGAAACTTTTGTATGCTTCACCAAGTTCTCGTGTTGTTTTCCAGTTCCATCAGTTCATTTATGTTCCTCTCTAAGCTGTTTATTCTCGTTAGAATTTCGTCAAATATTTTTTCAAGGTTCTTAGTTTCTTTGTATAGGGTTAGAACATGTTCTTTTAGCTCAGAGAAGATTCTTATTACTCACCTTCTGAAGCCTGTTTCTGTCAATTCATCAGACTCATTCTCTATCCAGCCTCATTCCCTTGCTGGTGAGGAGTTGTGATTCCTTGAGGAGGAGAGGTGTTCTGGTGCTGGATATTTTCATCCTTTTTGTGCTGATTTCTTCCCATTTTTGTGGATTTCTTTACATGTGGTCTTTGTAGTTGGTGACTTTCAGATGAGGTCTCTTAGTAGACATCCTGTTTGTTGATGATGAAGTTATTTCTTTCTATTTCTTAGTTTTCCTTCTAACAGTCAGGCCCCTCTGCTGTAGGACTGCTGGAGGTCCACTCCAGACCCTGCTTGCCTGGGGCTCACCTGCAGTGGCTTCAGAACAGTAAGGGTTGCTGGCAGTTTCTTCTTCTACTATCTTTGTCCCAGAAGGATACTTGCCAGATATCCATCTGAGCTCTCCTTTATGAGGTGACTCTTTGAATATATGGGGATTGGGGAGCTGCTTGAGGAGACAGTCTGTCCTTTATAGGAGCTCAGGTGCTGAGCTGTGAGCTCTGTTGTTCCATTGAGAGCTGCTGGGCAGGTATATTTAAGTCTGCTGCAGCAGATCTCGTAACAGCCTTTTTTTCCCCCAGGTCCTCTGTCCTGGAAAGATAGGGCTTTATTTATAAGTTTCTGTCATGCTGCTGCCTTTTTTCAGGGCTGCCCTGCCCAGCGAGGAGGCAGCCTAGTCACAGTCTGCTAGCAGAGGCATTGCTGAGCTGCTGTGGGCTCTGCCCTGCTTCCATGTGAACTTCCCTGCAGTCCTGTTTGTAGAGGTATAGATAGTACTGCCTCTGTAATCGCGGACTCTCTCTGTAATGGTGGACTGCCTCAGCAATGGCAGACCACCTCAGCAATGGTGGATTACCTCGGTAGTGGTGGACTGCCTCAGTAATGGCAGATGCCCCTCCCCCACAGAGCTGGAACATCCCAGGTTCAGCTGTGCTTGCTGTGAAACTCTCAATCCAGAGTCTTTCAGATTGCTGTTTTTTGTGGGGGTGGGACTGGCTGAGCCTAATCACCTGGCTCCCTGCCTTAGACCCCTTTTTATCAGTTGAATGGGCGACTCTGTCTCCCAGGCGTTCCAGTCCCCAGTTGAAATGGTGCCCAGATTTACCTGAGTTCTTGGGCAGAGAACTGCTGTGCTGGCTGAAACAGCCACGCTGGGGGCTTGTGGTACTTTTTCACCCAGGAATATCCTGGTCTGGCTCCCTGTTTCAGTCCCCTTTTTATCAGTTGAATGGGTAACTCTGTCTCTCAGGTGTGCCAGTCACCTGTTGAAAAAGCACCCAGATTTGTGTGAGAATTTGTGTGGAGACCCACTGGGCCAGCTGACACAGCCACGCAGGAGACTTGTGCTTTTCCCCCCAGGAATCTCTTGGTCTGGTCCCTATTTCAGTCCCCTTTTTATCCCTTGACTGGGCAACTCTGTCTCCCAGGTGCTCCAGTCACCAGCTGAAATGGAGCCTGGACTGTCTGAGGGTTTTTTTGTGCAGAGATCCACTGTGCTGGCCAAAACAGCCATGCTGGGGAACCATGGCACTCCTCTGCCTGGGAATCTCCTGGTCCGTGGGCAATAAAAATCCATCTGGAAGTGCAGTGACCACTGACCCTCCCCGCTCTTGCTGGGAGCTGCAATCCAGAGCTGCTCCTACTCGGCCATCTTGGATCCCCTCCCTAAATTTTCCTTTTAACATTGCTTTTGCTGCTTCCCAGAGATTCTGGTACTTTGTCTCTTTGTTCTCATTTGTTTCAAAGAACTTCTTGATTTCTGCCTTAATTTCATTATGTACCCAGGAGTCATTCAAGGGCAGGTTGTTCAGTTTCCATGTAGTTGTGTGGTTTTGAGTGAGTTTCTTAATCTTGAGGTCTAATTTGATTGCACTGTAGTCTGAGAGACTGTTATGATTTCAGTTCTTTTTCATTTGCTGGGGAGTGTTTAGCTTGCAATTATGTGGTCTATTTTAGAGTAAGTGCTGTATGGCACCAAAAAAAATGTATATTCTGTTGTTTTTGGATGTAGAGCACTGTAGATATCTTTCAGGTCCACTTGATCTAGAGCTGAGTTCAAGTCCTAAATATCCTTGCTAATTTTCTGTCTTGACGATCTGTCTAATATTGACAGTGGGGTGTTAAAATGTTCCACTATTATTGTGTGGGGATCTAAGTCTCTTTGTAGATCTCTAAGAACTTCTTTTTATGAATCTGGGTGCTCCTGTATTAGGTGCATATATATTTAGGATAGTTCTTCTGTTAAATTGAACCCTTTACCACTGTGTAATGCTCTTCTTTGTCTTTTTTGATCTTTGTTAGTTTGAAGTCTGTTTTGTCAGAAGGTAGGATTGTAACCCCTGCTTTCTTTCTGCTTTTGTGAGCCTATGTATGTCTTTGCATGTGAGATGGGTCTTTGAATACAGTACACTGATGGGTCTTGACTCTTTATCCACCTTGCTGTTCTGTGTCTTTTATTTAAAAATATGGAATGCTTCATGAATTTACATGTCATCTGTGCACAGGGCCATGCTAATCTTCTCTATATTGTTCTAATTTTAGTATATGTGCTGCCAAGGCGAGCACAATAATTTTTCACATTAATTTAAATGTGTAAAATTTAGTTATAAAGTTGTAACATATGATCAATCCTGAATGATGCTACTCAAAGTGCTAATCTGAAGTAAAAAAAAGAATCTATGTCAGAATTTATTTAAATTGACAATGAAGTACACGTTATTTTTATAGCAAGTTTTTTTATGAAAATAGCAGTGAGCATATTTACATTATGATGCAAGCTTCTTATGTCTTTGTGGAATGGTAATAAGCAGTTTACTACCTGTGGCTGAATTGGTTTATTAGCTCCAGTAAGTTTCTTGTGGATCTTGGGATTTTCTGTGTGTAGCATCATGTCATCAATGACAAGAGAGAGTTTCATTTTTTCCTTTGCAATTTATATGACCTTTATTCTTTTTTCTTGCCTAATTATCTGGCCAGACTTCCAGTACCATGTTGAATTGCTGTAGTAAAAGTTGGCATCCTTGTCTTGTTTTTGATTATAGGAGAAAGTCTTTCATCCTTAAGCATGATATAAAAGTCTTTCATGAATATCTCTTATCATGTGAAGGAAGTTCTCTTTTATTCCTGATTTGTTGAATGTTTTACTTCTTGAGTCATTTGGGTAGTTTTTGTGTTTCTAGGAAGTTGTCCATTTTATCTAGGTTGTCTAATTTGTGGTGGACAATTATCCATAGTATGTTTTATACCACTTCATATTTCTGTAAGGTTGCTAGTAATGTCCCCACATTTTATTTCATTTTAAAACTACTTAATTGATATATGATTTACACACAAAAAAGCTCTATACATTTAATGTTAATGATAAGGGCATAAATGTATCCATTACTTTCCAAAGAGTCTTCCCTTTCTCTTTATTATCATTGTGTGTGTGTGTGGTAAGAACACTTAACATAGCTACTGTCTTAGCAACGTTTAGATATATAATACATGATTGTTAGCTATAGATATTATGCTGTATATTAGTGTATTAGATAGGGGAAAAAACACAAGGTGTTCTTCCTACTCTCACACACTCCACTCAACACAACGCAGAACACTTTTGTGACCAAAATGTGTAGGCTTTTTTCCCTAAACATCAAACAGTTCTGCAACAGGCACAAACAGAGTGTCTTATAATTCAATTCAATTATGACACTCTCTACCTGGAGTTAGAGTCGAATCCTACAGGTTGAGGGGTCATTCCCACAAGATGGCCCCCCCACATCTAATGCGAGTTGAAAGCTCCAGATTGTTTTACATGTGCTTCTGACCTACCAGCTAATAATCAGGGTTTTTCATGGCCCCTTCCTCAGGTACAATTAATTTGTTAGAGTGACTTACAGAATTCAAGAAAACACTTACATTTAATGGTTTATCATATTAATAAAGGATATGACAAAGGGTATAGTTGAACATTGAGGTGAAGACATACATAGGGTGAGGTCTGGAAGGTTTCTGAGTGCAGGAGCTTCTGTACCCATGTAGTTGGGGTGGGCCACCTTCCTGCCATGTGTTCATCAACTCCTAACTCTGTAGTTCAGGGATTTTTGTAGAGGCTTCATCACACAGGCACACATGATTATTAACTCAATCTACAGCCCCTTTTCCCTTCCCAGAGGATGGGGAGGAGTAAGCTGAAAGTTCCAAGTTTCTAATTACAGCTTGGTCTTTCTGCTGACCAACCCCCATCAAGGAGCCCACCAAGAGTTGCTTCATTAGAATAAAAGACACTCCTATCACCCAGGAAATTCCAAGGGATTAGGAGCTCCATATCCAAGACTAAATATTAGATCAAAAGATATACCTAGCCTGCTGCTACTCAGGAAATTAACAAGGGTTTTAGGCGCTCTGTGTCAAAAACCTGAGGTAGAGACCAAATATATATTGCTTATATCAGAATGTCATAAGTCTCCAGAATTTATTTATATTACATACTGAAACTTTGTGCTCTTTAACCATTACATTCCCATTTCTTCCTCCCCCAGACCCTATTAACCACCATTTACTTTCCACTCGTATGAGGCTGACTATTTCAGATTCCTCATATAAGTGAGGTCATATGATATTTGTCTTTTTGTGTCTGGCTTATTTCACTCAGTACAACATGCTACAGGTCCATTTATGTTGTCGAGACTGGTAGGATTTTCCTCTTTTTTTAAGCCTAAACAATATTCCTGTGTGTGTGTGTGTGTGTGTGTGTGTGTGTGTGTGACATTTTCTTTATCCATTCTTCCATTGACAGACTTTTAGTTGTTTCTGTGTCTTAGCTATTGTGAGTAGTGCTGCAATGAACACGAAAGACAGGTAAGTTACCTTATAGTACCTTCACTTCAGGATGCTTCTACTCATGGCAGAAGGTGAAGGGGAGCCAGTGTGTGTAGACATCACATAGTAAGACAGGAAGTAAGAGAGAGAAGGGGAAGTGCCAGGCTCTTTTTAACAACCAGCTTTCCTGGGACTTAGTAAGTACAGCAGGAACTCACTCACCTGCTCCCTGAGGGAGGGTATTAATCTCTTCATGAAAGATCTGCTCCCATAACCAAAACACTTCCCATTAGGCTGCACCTCCAAGATTAGGCATCAAATTTAACATCAGCATCTTAGGGACAAACATCCAAAGTATAGAATCATTTGTTAAGATCAATGTTTCTATGGAGATACAGGGACTGGATCCTCCTATTCTGCAATTATGCATTGTATTGATGTGTTCTATACTTCCTAATTTCAGTAACTTGGGTCTCTTCTTTCTTTTTTTTTATACAGTCTAGCTAGAGGTTTGTCAATTTTCTTAATCTTTTGGAAGTACCAACTTCTGGTTTCATTCATACTCTCTATTTCTTTTCTATTCTCTATTGATTTTATCTCTGCTCCCATATTTACCCTACAGTTGTGCAGAATACCAGAACTCATTCCTTCTATCCAGCTATAATTCTGTATCCAGGATTTTTATGTAGTGCTCTTTTACAACTTCTATCTCTGTTGATATCCTCACTTAGTTGAGATAATAGTTCTCCAGGCTTCCTTTAGTTCTTTGTTCACTTTGTTATATCCAAGCGAGTTGTTAGGAAATCGCCACACTCTGAAATCTGATTGAGTCATTTATTGCTGGCAACTGAGAGTCAGCTCACACTCAAAAATCTCTCGGCCCTGAGCAAGGGGCTTGATTCCTTTTTATACCTTGCTTAAGAAAGGGGAGGGGGAGCCTAGCTGAAGCAGAATTTACAGAAGCAGAACAAGCAAGTTAGATAAGGAGGCAGGATGGTAACTAGAAGGCAGGAGGTTCCCATGATTGCTGGTTACCAAGGAGAGTATACATAAGCGATTCCCATGATTGCTGGTTACCAAGTGGTGGGGAGGCATATTCGGTATTTGCCATATAATCAATCAAGGGGGAATTCACAACAGCAAGTGGGTTTGCTAAGCGGGATGTAGTTACAATGGTTATATGTTTCTATAGCTCTAAGTGCAACATGACCCAGCACAGGAACATGACCCAGATATGCACTCAAAGGAGAAATGGCGGGAGGGGTGAGACAGAGGTTAAGATGGAGTCTGTCTGGCTCTCAGCAAAATAGATTCTGTCTGGCTAACACAGGGTAGGTTAACACAATTATCACCCTTAGGTCTTTGAGCATATTTAAGACTGTTTATTTATAGTCTAAAGTCTTTTTTTAATATGGAAAATGTCTAGATTTATTTGGGGACTACTGCTATTTTTTTTCTTTCTGTGAATGAACCATACTTTCTTACTTTTTTGTGCCTCTAATCTGTTGAAAATGGGACATTTATATTATTATAGTATGGTAACTTTATAAATCAGGTTATCTCTTTTCCCTGGGGTTTTTTGTTGCTATTTGTTGTAGGTTGTAATTTTTTGTTTGTTTAGTGATTTTTCTGATATATTTTTAAAGACTATATTCTTTGTCATTTTTGGTCCCTGAAATCTCTGTTCTGTTTTCTCAGTGGTCAGTTAGTGATTAAACATTTTTAAAAATATCTAAAGTTAAAAAAATATTTTTAGTTATCTTGAAGTCTTTGTAGATTGGCTCTGTGTTGGTGCACTCTTTCAGTGCTTAGCTTGGCCATTTACATCTCTGCATAGTCCTTCATTTCCTGCTTGCTAGAGCCTAAGTTAAAGGTCAGATAGAAGTGAAATCTTTGGGTTTTCTCCAGTGTTTTCTGAGCATGTGTCTCTTGCATGACTTTTAGTTTCCCTTTTATATACAGGAACTTTTTAAATCCTTTACTCCCCACATATCTCCTTCACTAGCATTTTCCCCCAGGATCTTTGGTCTGTCTATGGCTTATTCTATTATCTCTTATCCTAGGAGTCTGTGGCCTGTATGTTTGCCTTTAAATGCTTTCAACAAAAGTTTAAAGGCAGGCAGAAAAAAAAAAAAGCAACCTCTGAGCTAACTCCTCTGGGAGCCTTCAGACAGGTCAAAACATAAAACCACATTTATGTGAGAAGAGTGTTAAAATTGCCTCTCTGGCTCCAGCAAGCCACACCAGGAACACAAACAGCTGTCCCTATGCCTGCCTCCTAGCTAGGTTGTGTATGTTGTAGGCAATTAAGATGCCATAATGTTCTCTCTCATTGAAATTTAGTACCTTTTAAAAATTAAGTGTTCCCTTTATTGTTGTAATTCTTAAATTATAATCTATCTTCCAAAATATTTGATTTTGATTGTTTTTTCTTTAATGGAATTTTGGAATTTCCTCCTCTGCCATTTTCAGTGATGTCACTCACTTGAGAAATTTTTATAAGCCTACCCACACACAGAGTTGAAGTTCTATTTCATATTAATTGACTGGCCAAATGAATATTACATAGATAATTTTGAAGTCCCAAACAAGTAATGAGCCCAGGTGCATTACTGAAACAAGCAAATCCCTGGAATTACCCACCTTCACCTTAGGACATAAAGAATTCCTACAGTTGAAATTTAAAGGAAAATAAGTACCTCATAGTCAAAAATCACAAAACACCCTAGAGTAAATTAAATCATAGGATCAAGTTCCTGAAG